TGCCTGGGGTGGGAGGGTGCACACCTCATCAACAAGGGTGCCTGCACAATGAACATTTGTATACCTAACCCTGAACTGTACCCCACATATCTAAAATAAAAAAAATTTTTTTAAAGAAATACTTTATTGCTAAAAAAATGTTCAAGGTCATTTGAGCCTTCAGCGAGACCTGTTCTTTTTGCTGATGGTGGGTGTTGCCTCGATGGTCAGGGCTGCTGACGGATCAGGAAACGTGTTGCTGAAAGATGGGTAGCTGTGGCAATTTCCGAAATAAGACCACAAGGAAGTGTGCCACATTGATTGACTCTTCCTTTCATAAAAGATTCTCTGTAGCATGTGATACTACATGTTTGATAGCATTTTATTCACAGTAAAACTTCTTTCAAAATTGGAGGCAACCTTCTCAAACCCTGCTGCTGCTACATCAACTACGTTTATGTCATATTCTAAGTTCTTTCTTGTCATTTTAACAATGTTCACAGCATGTTCACCAGGAGTAGATTCCATCTCAAGAAATGACTTTCTTTGCTCATGTGTAAGAAACAACAACTCAGCCATTCAGAGTTTATCATGAGATTTCAGCAATTTGGTTACATTGTCAGGCTTCTCTTGCTATTTCTACCACTTCTGTAGTTATTTTCCTCACTGAAGTCTTGAGCTCCTCAGAGGCATCCATTAGGGGTGGAATCAACTTCTTCCAAATTCCTGTTAATGCTGTTTTAACCTTCTCTCATGAATTACACATATTATTAATGGCATCTAGAATGGCGAATCCTTCCCAGAAGGTTTTCAGTTTAATTTGCTCAGATCCTTCAGAGGTATCACTTTCTACCACAGCTACAGTCTTACAAAATGTATTTCTTAAATAATAAGACTTGAAAGTCAAAATGACTCCTTGACTTATGAGCTGCAGAATGGATACTGAAATAGCAGGCATGAAAGCATCATGAATTTCCTTGTACATCTTCATCAGAGCTCATGCGTGACTAGGCACATTGAAAGCCATCTTTTATTCTGAGCAGCAGTTCTCAACAGTGGACTTAAAATATTCAGCAACCCATATTATAAACAGACGTGCCGTCATCTAGACTTGTTTGTTCCATTTATAGAGCACAGCACAGTATGTTTAGCCTAATTCTTAAGGATCCTCGGATTTCCAGAATGGTAAAAAAAGCACTGACTTTAACTTGAAGTCACCAGTTGTGTTAGCCCCTAACAAGGGGTCAGCCCTTTCTTTGAAGATTTGAAGTGAAGCATTGACTTTTCCTCTCCAGCTATGAAAGTCCTAGATGGAATCTTCTTCCAATAAAAGACCATTTTTTCTACATTGAAAATCTGTTGCTAGGTGTTTACACTTTAAAATTTGCATTGTGCTGTATTTCTAAACTATGTGAAATATCCTATAGGTTTGTTATACTTCAATAACAGATAAATGAATTAACTGAATGAATAAAATAAATAACTTGCTTTTAGTGACTCTAAAAAAAAGAAAGAAAGAAAACCGGTTGTTTAGTGTAGCCATCTTCATCAAGGATCATCTAGATCTTCCAGTTATCTTGCTGCAGCTTCTACATTAGCATTTGCTGCTTTCCCTTGCACTTTTATGTTATAGAGAGTTTCTTTCTTTAAACCTCATGAACTGCTTTCAATTTTTCTTCCCCTTTCTCTCAGTCTTCATAGAATTGAAGAGAGTTAGACCACTTCTATTAAACATACTGGAAGTCCTACCCAGAAAAAGAAGCAAAAGGTTTCCAAATAGGAATAGAGGAAACTAAATTAGCTCTCTTTGCAGATGGTATGATTCTATTTCGAGAAAACCCTAAAGATTCCACCAAAAGACTTTTAGCATTCATAAACTATTTCAGTAAAGTCTCAGGATACAAAATCAGTGTTCAAAAATCAGTCACATTTCTATATACCAACAACACTCAAGCTGAGAACCAAATCAAGAACACAATCTCATTTACTATAGACACAGAAAAAACAAAATACCTTGGAATACATTTAACCAAAGAGGTGAAAAATCTCTACAACAAGAACTTAAAGACAGTACCTGAAGAAATCAAAGCTGACACAAACAAATGGAAAAACATCCTATGCTCATGGATTGGAAAAATCAATATTGTTTAAATGCCCAAAATGCCTAGCACACTCCATAGATTTAATGCAATCTCTGTCAAATTAACAGAATCATTTTTTCACAGATCTAGAAAAAACAATGCCTAAATTCTTATAGAAGCAAAAAAGAGCACGAATAGCCAAAGCAATCCTAAGCAAAAAGAGCAAAGTTGGAGGCATCACATTGCCAGACTTTAAACTTTACTACAAGGCTACAGTAATCAGAACAGAATGGTACTGGTACAAAAATAGATGCATAGACCAATAAAACAGAATTGAAAACCCAGAAATAAAACCACTATCTTACAACCATCTTATCTTTTACAAAACTGACAACAAACAGTTTCTGGGGAAAGGGCATCCTATTTTGCCAATGACTCTGGGAAAACTGGCTAAACATATGCAGAAGAATGAAGTTGGACCTCTTACTCTAACCACACATAAAAATTAACTCAAGATGAATAATGACTTGAATATAAGACCTCAGATAAAAATCCCAGAAGAAAGTCTAGGACACATTTTTTTTGGACATCAGTCTAGGCAATTAATTCATGACCAAGACTTCAAAAGCAAAGGCAGCAAAAACTAAAATTGACAAGTAGGACTTAATCAAACTAAAGAGCTTTTGCACAGCAAAAGAAACCATCAACAGAATAAATAGACAACCAACAGAATGGGAGAAAATATTTGCAAGGTAGGCATTTGATAGAGGACTATATCCACAATCTATAAGGAACTCAAAAGAATTGATGGGGGGAAGAAACCCAAAAAACATTAACCCCATTAAGAAGTGGTCAAAGGGCCAGGTGCGGTGGCTCAAGCCTGTAATCCCAACACTTTAGGAGGCCAAGGCGAGAAGATTGCCTGAGCCCGTGGGTTCAAGATCAGCCTGGGCAACATGGTGAGACTTTGTCTCTACAACAAAACAAACAAACAAACAAAAAATCAGCTGGGTGTGGTAGTGCATGCCTGTAGTTCTGTCTACTTGGAAGGCTGGGGAAGAAGTCTCACCCAGCAGGTTGATGCTGCGGTCGCTGTGAGCATGCCACTGCACTCTAGCCTGGGCAACAGAGTGAGATTCTGACTCAAAAAAAAAAAAAAAAAAGTGGGCAAAGGGGTTCAGCTTCATTCTTCTGCATATGTTTAGCCAGAACAGACACCTCTCAAAGGAAGACCTGGCCAACAAACATATGAAAAAAATGCTCAATATCAGTAATTATCAGAGAAATGCAAATCAAAACCACAGGAGATATCATCTTACAACTGTCAGAATGACTATTATTAAAAAGTCAAAAAACAACAGATATTGGCAAGGTTGCAGAGGAAAAAGGAGTGTAAGTTAGTGCAGGCCCTGTGGAAAGAAGTCTGGAGATTTCTCAAAGAACTAAAAAGCTATTTACCACTCAACCCAGCAATCCCCTACTGCCTATATACTTAAAAGAGCATAAATAATCCTACCAACAGATGTCTGCACAGATACATTTATTGCAGCACTATTCACAATAGCAAAAACATGAAACCAACCTAGGCGGCCATCAGCAGTGGACTGGATAAAGAAAATGTGAGAATATACACAATGGAATACTATGCAGCTATAAAAAGAACAAACTGATGTCCTATTCCTGAGGCCATCATTCTAAGTGAATTATCACAGAAACAATAAACTGAATACTGCATATTCTCACTTCTAAGTGGAAATCAAACACTGAATACACACAGGCAAAGGATGGAACAACAGACAGTGGGGATTCCTAAAGGGGGGGGAGGAGGAGGGTAAGGGTTGAAATGCCACACACTGGTACTATGCCCACCATCTGGGTGACAAACTCAATAGACAGCTTCACCATCATGTGATATACTTATGTAACAAACATGCACATGTACCACTTTCATCTAAAATAAAGTAATTTTTGTAAACAAAGAATTGAGCAGAGTTAGCACCTTACTCTGGCTTAGGCTTTGGCATAAGAGATTGTTGAGGCTGGTTGTATCTCCTACCCAGACAACTCAAGCTTTCTCTAACTCAGCACTAAGGTTGTTTCGCTTCCTTATTGTGTGTTCACTGGAATAGCACTTTTCATTTTCTTTAAGAACTTTTCATTTACATTTACAACTTGGCTAATTGTTCTGTGGGACACCAGAAGTCTAGCTTTCAGCCTCTCCTGGCTTTCTGTTGAAAGTGCTTTCCTCACTAAGCTTAGTCATTTCTAGTTTTTGATGTAAAGTGAGAGGCATATTACACTTCTCACTCGAACACCTAGAGGCCATTGCAGGGTTATTAACTGGCTTCATTTCAATATGTTTGTGTCCATGGAATAGGGAGGCCAAGGAGAAGGAGAGAGACTGATCAGTGGAGCAGTCAGAATACACACAACGTTTACCGGTTAAGTTTTCTGTTGGTTCGTGGCATCTCAAAACAATTACAATAATAATTATTGTATTAATTACAGTAATCAAAGATTGCTGATCACAGATCACCATCACAGATATAAAAATAACGAAAAAGTTTGAAATAGTGTGAGAATTAACCAAAATGTAAAACAGAGACAATGAAAACAGAGACATTGAAAACAATGGTACTAATAGACTTGATCGATTTAGCATTGTCACAAAACTTCAATTTGTTAAAAAAAAATGCAGTATCAGTGAAGCACAATAAAGTAAAGTGTCACAAAGCAAGGTATGCCTGTGTTTAAAACTTCAATTTAGGCTGAAAACTTTCTTAAAAAAAGAAAGGAACATGCTTAATAGCCTCTGAAAAACATCATTGAAATGTATCCTTTATCACTTACTGCATTATGTAGTTCTTGTTGCTTAATTTTAAAACATCTCAGCTCCTTCTCCGACCCCATCCCCAAGTGGAGTGTTAGGGGAATACTCACATGTCTGTAAAGCACTCTGAGATCCTTGGCTAGAAGGCTCTGTATAGAAGCAAAAAGTATTTTGTTTGATTGATTGTTCATTAACACATGAAGCAATTGTCTGAAAATGGGAATACACCAAGTATTTACCTTGTTTCATTCTTTTTCTTTTACAGTATGTTACAAAGAATAGCACTGATAAAAGTATGAGGACCAATAAAATCAATGGGATCAACACCATTAATATAAACTCTAAATGATTTCCGTCCTCAACAGCGCTGGTAGAATTTGTATTTGCAATTGATGTTTCTGTGGTCACTGCATCAAATGTGCTCAGAATAATCCCTTCACTTGGTCCTTCGTTTGCCCAGGATAGGTCTCCTGAGTGTCCTGATGCCTCATAAGTACCTGTGGGAACAGATGCAAAATTGAGATTGCCATGGAGACAAAGCTAGTATGTTATGTTTTCAATGATTTTTGAATTTACCCTAGATTCAGTGATAAACTTGATCCACTACACTTGGCCTTCCAGTTATGTGACACAGTACATTGATTTAACATAAATGGAGCTCAAGCTGGTAGTATATTGAACATGGAATCAGAGCCCAGATACAAATCTTGCACAAAAGACAGGCAGTTTAGCATTGGCCAGGCATTTTAGACACGTTTAAGCAAAGGGCATTAGGAGGCTTTTTCATATCAAGGGTTACTTCCTGAGCCAGGTTATGCGATATTCCAGGACATCTCCTATAGGGTATCATAATACTTTAATAAGATGTCTGAATAAATTTAAATTCACACTTCCTGAAAGCTATGTATGTACATGCCATGAAACACTTTCAGATATAAAGAAATGTACTCTGTGTCCTAAATTCCCGCCTCCCTTCTCCCTGTCTCTGAGTTGGGGTCTTACTCTGTTGCCCAGACTGAAGTCCAGTGGCATGATTACACAGTTCTATGCCTCAAACTTCTGGACTCAAGAGATCCTCCCACCTCAGCCTTCTGAGTAACTGAGACTACACTTGGGTGCCACCACGCCTGGGTAATTTTTTGATTTTTTTTTGGTAGAGATGCAGTCTCTCTATGTTGCCTAGGCAGGTATCAAACTCCTGGGCTCAAACAATCCTTCCATCTTGGTCTCCCAAAGTACTGGGATTGTAAGTATGAGCCATTACACCCAGCCTGTGTCTTAATTTTTAATAACATGTTACCTATCAATGGAAAAGAATTATTTGATTTTTTGTTTGCTTTTTGAGTCGGGGGCTCACTCTGTCATCCAGGCTGAAGTGCAATGGCCCGATTATAGCTCATGCAAGCCTCAGTCTCCTAGGCTCAGGTAATCCCCCTTCCTCAACCTCCCATGTAGCTGGACCTACAGGCATGCAACACTGCACTCAGCTCATTTAAAAACTTTTTTGTAGAAACAAGGTCTTGCTATGTTGCCCAGGCTGGTCTTGAACTTCCAGGCTCAAGCAATTCACTCGCCTCAGCCTCCCAAAGTGCTGGAATTACCAGGCATGAGCCACTGCGCCTTGCCAAAAAGAAATTTGAAATTGGAGTGATCAGATTTCAGTGTAAAGTCTCATGTTCTGCACAGAACTCAGTTTGCTTCTGAGATTATCGGACAGAACTCCTCCTGAATTCTAATAAAATATGAATCATAGCTCATCTATAAAGTAAAATACTCAAGGGCAGTTCTTAGGGACTAGGAAACTGCACCAATATTTAAATTTATTTATTCAAATACACCCGTAGAGCTTTCCCTGCTATCAAACGATAAGCAACATTACTCTATTTGTACCTCAGAGCATGTTGAAAACCCACCTGTGGCTCATTCCAGGCTGGGAAAGGACTACTAGCTGAGTGACTATTTGAAAAACTTTCCCTCACCTGGTGCCTAGTGGTCACGGTAAGACAAGCAGAAGGTCTTCTTCCTGTCATGGTGTAATGCTGCCTGCCTTTCGGGAGGGACCCATTGAAGAAAATATCATGTAAGTTTAGGCTACGAAAACCTATCACATTAGATTATTTATATGAAAGTCCTTCCCAAGGTGAAAGGTGCTGTATGAATAGAGAGGTCAGCTGCTTTCAAACACACTCTACAGTACAGGTTAGGCAGTGACTCTGCAGAATGTCCAAACTGTACCTGCAGGATCAGTTCAACAGTTCTTCATAATTCCACCATGATGGCATTCCCTGATTTGGATTAAAACAATAATAATTGGAGGTGAGAGGATTACCTAAGCCCAGGGATCCAACCTGGGCAAATTGGTGAGACCTTGTCTCTACAATAAATCAAAAAATTAGCCAGGAGTGGTGACATGAGCCTGTGATCCCAGCTGCTTGGAAGGCTGAAGTGGAAGGATCACCTGAGCCCAGCAGGTTGAGGTTGCAGTGGCTGTGAGTGTGCCACTACACTCCAGTCTGGGCAACAGAGTGAGACACTGACTCAAACAAACAATCAAAAACAATAATAATGTTTGGTCAGTCTTATGAACTGAATGTTTGTGTTCCCCTCAAATTCACATGTAGAAGATCTAGTCCCTAATGAGATGATCTTAGGAGTTTTGGCCTCAGAGGTAATTTGGTTTAGATAAGATCATAAGAATGAGGCCCCCATGATGCAGTTAGTGCCCTTACAAGAAGAGGAAGAAACCAGAATGTTCTATCTCTGTCATGTGTGAATACAAGCAAGAAGGCAACTGTCTGCAAGCCAGAGAGCCCTCACCAGACACTGAATCTGCTAGCACCTTGATCTTGAACTTCCCAGTCTCCAGAACTGTGAGAAATAAATATTTATTGTTTGAGTCTGTGATATTTTGTTATGGCAACTGAGCTAAGACAGTCACAGTCTAATTATTTTGGTTATCTAAACAAACATTTCAGTCTCCCATACCAGGGAATCCATTTGATAACCACTTTGGCAAATGCCGCCCAAAACCATCAGAATCAATTACAAACTGCACGGTAAACTCACTGATATTCCCCACATGTATATGCCAAAAGAAGAATTTTTAAAAATCTACCAATTGTTAAGAGAGGCAGGACTTCAGGGTGGCTGACTAGATGCATCTGGCACTCATGCCTTCCACAAAGAAAAAACAAAATAGTGAACCAATAATCACACTTTGAGTAGATCATCTAAAAGAGAACAGTGGGATTGAATAGAGAAGTGACAGAAGGAAGGGGACTCAAAGCTGCCTGTTTGGCCTAGATCAGCTGTCAACCTGGAGACCTTCCATTGTGGGGAAATGGTAAGTGAGAGACCCCCAGCGCTCTATATTCCCAGTGTGGACTCCGGCCTCCTAGCTACCAGAGCCGCTTTACCCTCGCGGGCCTGGGACTATATTAGTGAACTACCTGGAGATTACCTGGAACTACCTGGAGCGGCATTACTCCAGAGACGGAGCTCACACTGAGTCCCACAAACCCCCAGCCCTAAGCAGCTACAGCAATGGGCCATTTTGACAACCCAGCCGCTACCAGACAGCCTCCGCCCCTGCTGCCGAATAGCCCCTGCATCTCCACTCCCTCCCCCGCCCCCCAGCACCATTGACCACACACAGCTGCTGCTGTTAATGGGGCAGAAGTGTGGGCGAATCATACCACCACCACCCCCCAGCTGCTTCCCTATCTCTGTCTCCCCCCTCCTCCCAAAGCAACCCTGCCATTCCCAAGGCTGCCGCGCAGCTGCTGCGGCCACCGCCTGAGCATTCCTTGGGCAGCCCGGGGATTGCCACGCCCCTGAATACCACAGCCAGTGCCGGTACGCACCACCAGGGGGCGCGAGGACGGATTCAGCTTGCCTGGTTCCAGTCCCCCAGTACCCAAGCCTACCTTTCAGGGCCTAGGGATCGCCCAGTCCAGTCCACCACTGTTGGCACCTGAGCTAAGTATTCCTGTCAGGGCCTGGGGATCGCCCAGCCCATTCCACCACTGCTAGCCCACCTTTCCCACTGCTCAGGAGCCAAGAAACTGCCTGCCAGCCTGACCCACCACTGCCATTCCCAGCATCCAAGAAAGTCACCTAGAGGCCAGAGAATCAGCTTGCCTGGACGTGCTGGCATTTGCTGTCCTGGAGCCCAAGGACAGACATGCTTTTGCTGTCCTGGAGCCCAAGGACAGACATGCTAAGTCCACTGCTGACATCACTGGGGCCTGGAGACTGGCCCACTTAGGGTCCTAGTTCCTTGAAAACCTTCCCCACAGTCTCCCCTAACAACTGCATGCTAAATCGCTGAGGAAATCACAAACACCACTGATGCTCTTTACAGTAGAAGAAATTATATGGACACTATGCTACTGTATACCCCCATAATCAAAGACAAAACATCCTGCCCAACCAACACTATAGATACATCTTGAGGAAAAGGCGCTCCCCTACAAAAGCAAATCCAAAAAACTGGAAGAAGCAACTGTTGACCCAATGAGCAGATATCAATGTAAGGACACAAGAAACATGAATGAGCAAGGAAATGTGACATCTCCAAAGGAATGCAGTAATTCTCCAGCATTAGATTACAATTTGAAAACTTCCTGAAATTCCAGAAAAAGAATTCAAAATATTGATATTGAAGAAACTCAGTGAGATATAAGAGACTACCGGAAAACAGTATGAAGAAAACAGAAAAACAATTCAAGATATAAATGAGAAAGTCACGAAAGAGAGACATCATAAAAAACAGCCAAACATAAATTCTGGAACCGAAGAATTCATTGAATGAAATACATGCTACAGTCTAAAGCTTCAACAATAGACTAGATCAAGCAGAAAGAAGAATATCAGAACTCAAAGACAGGTCTTTTGAAATAACTAGCCCCACAAAAATAAAAGACAAAGGACAAAAAAGAACCACCAAAGCTTTTGTGACATATGGTACATTACAAAGTGACAAAATACTTGAGTTTTTGGTGTCCTAGAAGAGGAAGAGAAAGTGAAAGTGTTAGAAAACCAACTTGATGAAAGGATACATAAAACTTCCCAAGTCTAGAACGAGATTAGACCTCTAGATACAAGAAGCTCAGATACCCCCAGATAAGTACATTTCTTTGCGTGTGTGTGTGAGTTGGGGTCTCACTCTGTGGCCCCGACCGGAGTGCGGTGGCCGCTCCCGGCCACCGCAGCCTCGACCCGCCGGGCTCCGGCGATCCTCC